GTATTAATAAGTGCTACCCTGCTGTGGAGTTTTTTACTCTGCAGCAGTGCACTGTGACAGCTGTGCCTCCTCGGGGCTGTCTATTAGCGGTCCCACAACACCGATCAAGGGCCAACCGCCTGCCTTCTCTCCTGCCACGCTTTGTTGTTATTCGCTTGACTGAAAGATCTTAATCAAACGGGAGGCTGCCTATTTTCTGTCTCAGTGCCTGAGGCACTATCTGCAGCTCCTTTCCTCCCCTTACACTGCAGCTCAAGCCTCGCAGATGTATCTGGTGTCGTTCAGGTCTGTCCTACTCTCTGTGCCATGCGGATGCTCTCTGGCTTATCCCTCAGCCTGCACCCTCGCTGGCGCCTTCTAGCTCATCTCACAGCCCGCGCCCCTACCGGCGCCCTCTAGCCTGTCCCGCACTGCCCGTTTCAGGGCTTCTCACCCATGCCAGTTCTGGGCTCCTCATTGCCCCCTTTAATTGGGGCTTCTCCCTGGCCCCTAACTCCGGGGCTTCTCCCTGCCCCCTAACTCTGGGCTGGGGCCAACGCACCCCAAACAATGCTGCGCCCTCTCCGGGGCCAGGAACCCCCACTCTACTGTGGAGTCCCTATTAGGCCTCCTCCAACCCCTAATAGCTTCTCCCAGTCCTCCAGTCAAAACAATAAACACAAGAATACAAAGCCCCCAGGCTACAACATAAAAGCTAGACTGTCCTGGTCAAAAATAAGAATCCATCCCTACCAGAGACAGCGAGCGCACCAACCCCCATCAGGGACCAGGGGATGTTCCCACCATCAGAGTTCTCCCCTTTGTGCTGGCAGAGTTCCTCCTCCCTCAGCTGCCGGAGGGAAACTGCCCTCCTGGCCTCCTGCCTGGGCTTAAGAAGGGCTAAACCCCGCCCCTTCCTGTCTCTATGTTTCTCTGGTTGCCCTGGCAACCAGCACCTGCGCAGTCCTGGTGATTGGCAGCTGAGCTTCCCCCTTCCCACCACTAGGGGTCTCTCCCGAGCCGTTTCTGCTCTCTGTCGCAGGGCACCTGAGAGCTCTGTGACAGCACATATAGACACTCCCCAGGCTGACTGGGGTGCAGGATGCTTTAGTGCAGGGGGCTGCCTGCCAGCTAGCCCCACAGTGAAGCTTGTGCCACCCTTGTGCCCCAGCCAGCCCCTCCACAGCACATTAACCCAGGGGAAGCAGCTGGGGCAGCTGGGGCTGTTCCAACCTGGCTCAATGTGCTGTGCTCCCAGGCGCACATTCAAACAGCACACCCAGAAGAGCAATAAGCTCTGGAGTTTATTGCTTTGCATTAATTGCTTGTGTAGATGTGCCCAGTAATTCCTAGTAAATTTCATAAGAAAGGTTCAGAAAAAAATACATGTAAAGGTTACCAATGTACACAATTTTCAAAACACCATCAATCCTAAGAAATATAATTAAAATAATTGACTGTGAAAAAGTTTAGCTCTTACTTTACTTAACAGAATAGAGGTGATTGCAGGTAGCATTTCCCTTGATTCTGAAAAATGTTGCACATAGAGGGCGCATCTACAGGAGACATGACTGCACAGTGCACATTTATTTAGTACTTGTATAAACAAGAACTAAATAAATGCACAGTAACCACTGCACAGCAGTGTCTCATGTAGATGCACCTACTATGTACAACTGGAATTACTGTGCAGTAGTGCTGGCAAATACCTTTTAAATGACACTATTGCGCAGTAGCCTAATACTCCTGTGCAATAGTGTCTCAGCACAGTTTCTGCCACGCAATGCTACTGTGTAGTTGTATCAGGCTATTGCGCAGTCAGTGTCTTCTGTAGATGTACCCAGTGAGGTTGTTATTCTTGATTCCATCTGTCATCTTGTAAGATATATTTTTAGGATGAAAATGATCTTTCACACTCTGGAGTGCAAATGGGTACCAATACATTTCTCAGAACACTAAGAGCCAGTGCTGGAAGGCTCTTTTAATTCACACCCAGCTCCAACAACGTTTAAGCACTTTTGTATCAAAGTCTGCACTGATGAAGCCAAGCCACCGCATTTGATTTCTGCCAGTGCATTGCTTTCAAATTTGGGAATTACCAGTAGCTATGAGGTCAAGAAGTTAGGCTGGTTTGGGATCAAATACTGGGTACAAGCTGCAGAAACTGGCAGCCAGCTGGCAAAATTACACAGCACCATTTCATATAGGTTTTGATTTTCCTACTGCTTTTGGTAAGTGATTTCATAGCTAACACATTTGTCCTTTGACTGACCTTAAGATTTCACCTAGCTGACAAGCCCAGCCAAATCACTTTCCATTTATGTATTCTGATTTCTGTTTTTTCATAAGCAGTGAGAGTTGACACACTTTCAGGACAAATGCTTCTATTCCTGAAACATGTCTATGTAATTCTGCTGAGCCACATCTTCGGCTGCTGAAATACAGCTATGTTCACTGTAGTCACTACTGCTGTGGATTTACCATGAGATCATTTATACTAACAAAAAGTGACATCAAATAACTATGGAATCCGAATCATAGAAACCAGGGCTTAAGTGGGATTTTAATTATTGTGAAATCTGCTGTAAGGGCATCAACAGTACTCAGCTACTAAAGCAAGTTTTTTAATTGTGCTGGGGACTATTTTTTGTTAGAAGTGTGGAGAAACCAAATACAGGAGCAAGCTCTTCTTGATTTGTTGCTTACTAAAATGGAGGGATTTTTTGAGAAACTGGACATGAAAGGTAACTTAGATGATGGTAATCATGAAATGGTAGAGCCCATGACGCTAAAAAAGAATTGTTAACCGTAGAATAAAAGTACTGTAATTCAGCAAAGCAGACTTAAACAAACTTGAAGCCAATAGGGAGGATCCCAGGGAATGCAGGTTTAAGGAAAAAAGGAATCTGGGCTGTTCCTCAAAGAGTCAATATTAGGGGTGCAGGAGCATGCTATCCCAATAAGATGAAAAAAAAGGAAACACAGCAAGGGACCAGCTAACTAGTCAACTCTTTAATAACTTGACACTTAAAATGTAGTCCTATAAAAAGTGGAAATTTTGGATGTAATTATGCTGTTTGTAATTATGGATGAGTATACGACTATAGGAAGAGCATGCAGGGATAAAATCAGGATGGCCAAAACACAAATTCAGATACTGCAAGCAAGGGACATAAGCGGGGGGGGGAGGGAAGGGAAACATTCTCTAAAATAGATCAGAAGTAAGAGGAAGACATGGAGAGTATAGATCCTTTACTGAATAGGGAAGAGACGTTAATAATATATGGTGCAGAGTTTAATGCCATCTTTACTTCAACGTTTACAACAAGGGGCAAGTATCAGATGCCAAGTGTGGTTGGAAACAAGTAGTAGTCTACTTGAGAAGGCTAGATGAGAATCAGCCTAGAAAAAGGAAAGCACAGGTTCAAATTTACTTAGGCAAGATGAATGTTTTCAAATCAGCAGGGCCGGATGAGATTTATCCTCAAGTATTCAAGAAACTGGCTGAAGTAATTGCAGAGGCATTGGTTGTTTTCTCAGAGAACACATACAAGTCAGATGTTGTTCCATAAGACTAGAAAGGGGCAAATATAATGTTTACCTTTAAAAAAGGAAAAAGCAGGACCCAGAAAATTACCGTCTAACTTCAATATCCGGATATGTCAAGAACAAGTTGTACTTAACCAACTTGATTTCCTTCTGTGACAAGTGATAGATCTTGAGGTCATGGGGAGGTTAGTGCATATAAAATACATTGATTTTAGTAAGGCTTGTGATACGCTCATTAGTAAGGTAAGGAAATATGGTTTAGATGAGCTTATTGTAAAGTGAGTGTGATGAAAGAATTTGACTGTTTTAGTCTCAAGAAAATATAGAGAAAATATAACTAAAGATAGATTTGATGACAGGCTTCAATTACAAAGTTGGTTGCTATAAAGGTGGTGCTGATCAACTGGTCTTTGTGTTCACGGGCAACAAAATGAGAAATAATAATAATTTCTGAATGGTATTGAAGATTCCACTTATACTGTACACAAAGCAGGGTTCGTCTTCATGGTTAGCAACTCAGTCACTTCTTCATTCATAAAATGAGGTGATGTCTATACTACAGTCATCCTACTAATCATACTACAGCAATGATTACCGCTCACATAGAGATGCCTGAGCTAGCTTTAAACTAGCTAGTTTGGGTCCAATTAGTAGTAGTTGCAGGAGCACAGAGCTCACCATAGGTTGCAAAAAATGGCCAATAAGCTAAGTAAATAGTAATTTAGCCTGCAGTGAGCTCCCTGCTACTGCAGCTGTACTAAAGCAGTAAACAACCTAACTATTTTAAAGCTAGCTCAAAGCAATAAATGCTACGTGACTATAATCTGAAATTCCACAGAACAGGGAGATAGCAAATTTTCCCATGTTATGGACTATTTCTTTATAAAGACTGTCTGCTGGACCATATGACCTCTCATTACAACTGAATGGACCATTTTCCATCCTGGCGCTTGATTCTGCTCCCACTTAGTTTAATGGAACAAGATCAAGTCACATATCCTCCTCACAAAGTATGTATCCCTATGGTAAGGGAAGAAATTACTGACATGGAAAAGTAACATTTGGAAAAGAGTTAATTTATGCTTTAATATTCCTAATGCAATGATGCAAGCGTAAAATTAAAAAAAATGAGAAGAGGGTATCTCTGCAGATGACTAACAAGAGCACTGAACACAATGTGTTCTCTGTGACCAAAGCTTGGGAACCTTTGACTTAGAATATAAAGAAAAACAGTTATGAAAAATTACAGTTCTTTTTAAATGACTAAGGATTTCCCATGGCATTATGAGTTTTTATAAAGGTCATGTTATTATTACCATAATTATCCCCAGAAGTCCAAATTAAAAAAACCCTGCAATTTTACAGAAAATATCAGGAATTGAATCAAACACCATTTAACACAGATTATTCATTACAAAATCTGCAACAACCACTGTACTTTGTTAGTAAGAAACAACCAAAAACACTTTTACCAGTCTTGGGTCAATTTCTTCATTAAGAACTGCTTCATTCTTAATAAGGGCAACTCGCTGTGCAAATCTACAGGTTGATATTGATTCCTGGAAGGGAAAACAATATGAATCATTTAGCCTGCAGTGACATGAAGGGATTAGCACTCAGTTGTGAATTTAGCAAACTTTTTAAAGAAGTATTTTTTCCTATTATATTTTATAGCATCAACTAGATACCCCAGGTTTTCACAAAATTTAAAACTGAAATATTCAGGGCAAATGATCTATTAACAAAGTAATGAAACTGCCATATAAAACTCTCAAAACAAAAACACGCATCAAACCATAAAATCACCTGACAGCCAGGTTCTTCTGTCTCTTGTATTCTTGATGACCCTGTAGCTGGCAACAAGAAGAATGGAGGAGGAAGGCATTTAACTCAAATGCAGAGATCAAATGCCAGACCCAGGGAAGGAAGAGAGTAGGCTGCGAATCCGGTTAAATGGCAGGGTGGGCAAGAAGACTGGGAGCTGGAGGGGATGGAGGGGAAGTTGCAACTTTTTGGGTAAGAAGGCTGGGACATGGTAAGGGAAAAAGTGCTATGGACTAGCAGCATGTTAGTATGGAGTAGAACAATAAGCTTGGATGATAATCTGAGAACATGGAAATTCTGGCAGTGGTTCAGTAAAAAGACTGGTTCAGCAAAAAAGGCATAGGGATAAAAAGCTAGGGGTGGCAAGAACACAGGGTTTGACCTGAGACTACCTGGAGGCCTAGGCAGAAAGGGTCAATCCTGGTGGGGGAATAGGCACAAGTGTTTCTGCATATAAATGCACACTCCCTTCCAGGGCATGGCATGAAACTAAAGATGTCCCGGTCACATCATTCCCCTGCTGTCAGTAGGTATAAATGAAACCTACAGGAAAGTATGTTCTTCACTCCACTATAATGCTGATCCACATAAGGCATCAAAAGCATTGCTGCCACCAGTTCAGTGCCAAAGGTTTAAGTGGTAGATGTAAAAATCCCAATCTTGTTAATTAACCATGTCAGTGTGAATGGGATGCCACATACCACCC